TTTCCTCAACGAAATAAAAATGCGAGTAATAAAAATTGATCAACATTTTTTTTTACGAGTACCCATATGATACCTTTGAACCTTTCGATAGGTGACAGGTAAAGGGTCATAGGGTGTTGGTTGGGTGTTAGGAAAAAAAAATTAAAAATAATAAAAAAAAATAAAATTGGGGAGAAAAAACGGGTGGATAGAAAAGATAAAAGGAAACAAGAAGAAAAGGGAAATAAATTGGTCGGAGATGATCGGTGGTGGGGGGAGGGCGAGAAGGAGGAGGAAGAAAAAGGGTGAAAGAGGATTTCTCAGTATAAATGGATGGAAGAAAGGTGCAGATAACGAATAGATCTTCTCGGGATAGAGATTGAACTGTGAGGATTGAATGGCGAATCACTTTCTTGATACTCGTACTTCGAAAAAGACAATAATACTTCGGTGGTGGTAGTGGTGGTGGTTTCCTCATCCTTTCTTCGAGTATTTCTAAATCCGTTGTTGCAATTTTACTATTCCATCCCTTTCATCGTCTATTTCTCATTCTTTTTTTTTTCTTTTTTTTGTTTTTTTATTCTTTAACGCCACCATCAATTTTGATAGAAATTTCAATTTCTTTTATTCGAGAATAGAACATTTTGTATGAATAATTCTAACCTCCGTACGATTAAATTACTTTCGACTTATTTATTATTATTGTTATTTAGTTTTTTCTTTTTTTTTTTTTAATTATTTATTGGTGAACAAATGAAATTATTTTTTTTCGACAAAATTTAATCTAATCGTAGCAATGTAATACAACAGTGATATTTCATTGGTTCGTGTTGTTATCTTCGAGATAAAGAATTAAGAAAAATAAATATTTAAATTGCCAGTTAAATTGGGTAATTTGAGTTGCTCGCAAATTGGCTAATAAATTTGTTTAATGTCACTAGCAGTACGAGGTTATCATCTAACTTTTTAGTTCTTTTCTTTCTAAATCGACTTTTATCGTCTTCTTTGTCGAATCGTTTAACATAGATCAATCCAATTGCTTCTTGCCTGATTTCAATTTAAATTGAATTTCATTTGTTTCTTGCGTGCATAGTAATTTTTATTTCTTAAATGTTTCGATTAATTTTTTAAGGTGTGCATCAATAAACGTTTCTTTTCTCTCGACAGTGTTTTGTTTGAGTTGCAACAGGATTGTTTTGAGAAACTTGTCAGGGTTAAAATCATTTTATAATTGTACGAACATACAACTCACGTGATTCTTTTTAATCACTTACATGAGCTTAAAAACATTTCTTCCTTTCCCCCCTTCTGTTATTTAAACACAATTAACTGATGTGTATTTTTGAAATTAACCTAAACTATCTAGTAATTCTAGTGACCAATTGGATAATTTGTATAACGTCTGTATTTTGCGATAAGCATTTCTATACCAAATACTTAAATAAGCATTCGTGAAGAGATTGAACGGTGAGCCCTGAAAGCTCAATCGATAAAAAACAGTTGCCCAAAAAGCGAAGATCCGTGGTTCCGAGTCCCGGTTCAAGTCAATCCAGTGGGTTCAATTTTTTCACGAATCTTACAATTAAGGGCTCGTCTAAGATGAAGGTTTGCTTCGTAAAATATTTCTAAAATCTTGCAATAAGGAGAAAAAAAATAATTAATTGAAGATCTATCAAAAAGAGGTTAGGCGATAGTAGCGACGCTGAACGGTTGGTTGGGGAATTAAAAAGAACAGGCGCTCAGCAGTGTGTTCAGGATTAATTCTTTGAGTGCTGAAATATTTTTAACTGAAGTGTTTTTCTACGAATGAAATAGTTTATTATTAATGTGACCAAATGCTAATATTAATAAATTATATTTAATAATAACAATTTTTCTTTCTCACAATATTATATTCATCTGACAAGATACAAAACAAAAATATTACATTGTTTTACATTCACATTGATAACACAGTTTAAAAAAAAAATGGCAGAACATTTTCGAGATCGAATGTTGTTGCAGGAGGGTAGAATGTGAAACGAGTGCTTCCATGCCAAATACTTAAATATAAGCATTCGTGCAGGGATTTTATGGTGGGCCCTGGATAGCTCAATGAATAAAGAACAGTTACCCGGAAAACGAAAGGATCCGTGGTTTGAGTCCCAGTCTAAGGGCCCAATTTTTTTACGAATTGTTACAGTATTATTATACATTGATTGTAGAATATTAAAAATTTGGAGAATATCAAGATTAACACGATTAATTGTCAACATATATTCAATATTTTGATTTATTTTGATACATTAATTTTTAGGATATGTACCAATCGAGTATGTATATCTTGACATTTATCAATTTTGATTTTTCATACTAAGACACATATATTATTCTCATAAAAAAGCGTAGTATCGTTAATGTAGTCGTGATAGGAGAGGAAAAGTAATGAGAAAATCCTTGGGTAAGGTTCTTGAGACAAGGTCTATGGTGGTTGTGGGGTAAATGCGATATCACGGATAAAAATAGTAATTAATCACCTCGTTACGTGTCCCGAGCACGCGCTAGCATGATTCCTTCGTACGAAGCATAAATTATCGCTTGGCCTGGCGATTTTAAGCTGGCTTAATTGGTAGTCGATAAAACACAAAATTTTATCCCATTGCTTTTCGCATTAAAGTATCGAAATTTTATCAAACAGAGAGGGAGAGAGAGAGAGAGAGAGAGTGTCATAGGGGTAAACATTGTTATATATTTTCTTACGAAGAAAAAATAAAAACAAAAATATAAATAGAAAATAATACGTATATATTTAAGAAGAAAAAAAAAAAACAAATGATCTAATTAAGTTATGATTACTGGACCATTATTTCTCGATTAATCAATGAACCATTAGTATATTATTATTTTTTCATTCAACTTAATTGTTAATATTACTTTTTTTTTTTCCAAAAGTAACGAATAATAGAAAGTATATATAATAGATTTAATCGTAAAGTATATTAGAGAAAAAGAGAGAGATTTGATCAGCCATTTTAACATCCATTTCGAAGATAGGCAATTTTCTATTGGTCAGTTATCAAAGAGCATGAAGTAATAGGAAAATACTATTGGTTGGAAATAGTCCGATTGAAAAGGAAAAGAGAAAAAGAGATAGAGAGATAGAATGAAAGAATGAAAGAATGAAAGAGAAATGATATGACTTTCCACGTCGTTGAAATTCCTATATATATACACACACATACACACATGTACATATATATAGCTGTAATTTAAAATCTGTCGTTGAACGGTGCAAAATTCGCTTGGAATCATGCGTGGAAAATGTCAATCTGTATTTACCGATTCAAATGCACTAGTTAACTTTTACCCCGTACCACCCTCCCACCCACTCACCCCATCTCTCTCTCTCTCTCTCTCTCTCTCTTTCTTTCTCTTTCACTTTATATTTTCCAGATGGTCGTGGTTAGCTCCTATCTCTTTTAAATGCTCACCATTGAAATCCTTGCATTGGCTCTGGGGGAATACGAGTTGAATAATAATTTCGTCGTCATGGTTGTCATGGTGTCGTCATGGGTATTCTTCGCTACTCGTTTCGTTTCGTTTCGTTTTGTTTCGTTTCGTTTCGCGTTGAGTTGAGTTGAGTTTAGTCGAGCAGTTTTGCATTTTAGAAGACTGCAAAGACGAGTTAGAAAGGGTTAAAGTGAGTGAGAAAGAGAGAGAGAGAGAGAGAGAGAGAGAGATGAGATTTTTGCGAAAGTTTCGAGCGTTTAAATCGTTTTCCCTTACGCTTTTTGCGAGTTCCCATCGTTTCACACCAACACAGATATAGGTGATACCATCGGAACATTTACAGCGTGCATCATGCATCCCCCCTAGTGTGTGGTGCATTCAGTAAACGCTTCGAAGCTTGTAGATAAAGAGGAAGGGAGAGGGTGAAATGGCTTTTAGTTGGCAAGCAACGGTTTTATACCGGTTGGTACTTTCAACCCTTTCGCGTAGTCGTCGTCATACTTGCGAAATTTTATTTCAATTCACGCCAAATGTATTTGCCTTCTTTTTTTTTTTTCTTTCCTTTTTTCGTTTTTATTTTCTTCTTCTTCTTCTTCTTCTTACATTTTATCACTCCTCTCATTCTTTCTCTATCATTTATATTGTTTTGTGTTTTATTTGTCTGTGTGTATGTTTTCATTTCTTTTATTAATAAAAATCAATATTACTTTTTGTTCAGAACAATATTATACCTGGTTTTCTTTTTTTCTTTAAAGGAATCCAGATCGAACGTTTATATTAGATACTTTATCGTCAAATTTATGATCCAATCATATAGCACATAAGTATTATATTAGATGGGATATATAAAATTGAAAATATAAAAATGTAGCTTTAAAACTATATATTATATATACCGGTATCTCTTTTCAACATTGTTTAAATAGTAATTTGATATTCTATAGGATACCAAAGTATTATATGTTCACAATGCTTAAGAAAAACTGTAAGAATTCTTCTGTTTCCGAGTTTATCGGAAGGCTCTTTGCATTGATGAGAATGCCGAGGAATTACTAGCAATGGCGGATTTTCGGCTCTATGACGGTAACATATATATTTCTCGTTTTCGTTCATTTTATTTGAAAGGAAATTGTTTAGGAGGAAAACGTTCTTTTTATTTTTCGAACATTTATTTTTATTTTATATACATATATATAAAGAAATATTATACATACATACATACATGCATTCATACATATGGGTGGTTTTTTAAACTACTTATGTTTGTGTGTATGATACTTTAAAAATATTTTTTCTATCTTTCATAAGAATACGTTGACATTGTTTAACATGGAACAAAAAATCTCATACATACTGTATATTGTTGTATATAGTAACATACTATTATATATAATATTACATAAGTATATTTAAAATATTTATTTCAATTTTGTTCATTACCACATATGATTTTATTAAAAAAATTCTATAGAATATAATTTAAAGTATAATATTCGATAATTATTCGTTATTCGTAATATTTTTCTCACTTTTTTTTTTTTTTTCATAGTTTTGGATTGGACTTTACTTGCATCCTTGCACCCTTTGACGTGTACGCTTCTCTTAATTAAGGAAAACGGGGTTTGTTTATCCCATCTCTCTTCCACCTCCTCCCCTCCTCTCTCTCACCCCTTTTTTCATCCTCTTTGTGCTAATCCAAGCGACATTTTCTATATGCCTATATAATAATCATACACATATACATATACACACATACATGTATATAAATATATGGATACGTACATTTAAAAACGTGCAATACAATCAAACGAATTGCATTTTTATTTGTTTATTTATTTATTTATTTATTTAATTATTTAATTATTTCTTTCTTTCATTTTTTTGTTTTCATATTTTTTTCTCATATGCACAAGTTTCTTTCCTTTTACCATTCACCTGTTTTACATACCACACCCCGTCTTTTGTCATTTCCCGTTTGTAAAAGTAAAAACGTAACCAACAGCAACAGCAACGGCAGTTCCAACCAGTGTACGAGTTAAAAGAAAACGAACGATGAATTTTTTTTTGGTTTTATTTTTTAATTTCATTTCTTTTCTTTTTCTTTTTCTTTTTTTTTCTTTTTGTTATTTCATTTCGCGTTCCTAACGCGCCATTATGTCTATGCAAAACTTTCAACCTGGTTGGAACCCTCGTTCTTTCTTTTCTTCCTTTCCATTCCTTTCCATTTCTTTCCTTTCCCTCCACCCCCCATGCAATTCTGACTGTTTCTCTGGTCTATTCTCTTTCATATGCACACAAATACACATACACACACATTCACACGTATCAAGAATACGTACGTATATTTCTACACTCTCGATTTCTTCCTTTGGGGTAGCTCGATATTCCCATATTGTGCGAATCCTTTGTAGGGTGGGGAGATGTTGGGTGGAGGAAGAAGGGGGAGGGGGATACGAGTACTATCGTTCATTGTGGTTGCGTAATAAACGTTGAACTCATTGCCGAGGAAACAAACCACCACCATCACCACCACCACCACCACCCTCAGTTCGGAGGGCAACGTTTCTATTACATCTCGTCGTAGTCCTGGTGTGGTGGTAAATCTAAATCAACCTCCCTCCCCTTGCTCCACCTGTTCCCTTCGATCTATCAACCCCCACTCGATTTCCCTCCTTCCCTTCCTCACCCTTCCTGCTCGACCATCTTCCTCTTGTTTTTCTTTTTGACCTCCTCCCAATCGAACTGCATCGTCATCGAATGCTGTTTTCCTAAAACAAGCCAATGAGATTGTTTGTACGTTTGATAGGTTTCTTCATTAGTTTTTTTTTTAACGTATTAAATTTACGGGGATGTTTTGTTAGTTAAATATTTTTTTTTCCTTTTTAATGAGTTATTAATCATTGTTTTGAATGAAGTTGTCCAATTAGAGGGGAGGAATTAATATTCATGGTATATTTCATTAATTGTAAATTGTTGTATGTTTTTAAATAACAATATAATATTTAAGTTTTATATATATATATATATATGGGATGAGCATCTCCATGTAAAATACTTAAATAAACATTCGTGAAGAGATTAGACGGTGGGCTTTGATAGCTCAATCGACAAAAAACAGTCGCCCAAAAAGCAAAGATCCGTGGTTCGAATCCCGGTGGTGTTTCAGTCCGTCCAAGAGGATTCAATTTTTTCAGGAATTTTACAATTAAGGGCTCGTCTAAGATGAAGGTTTGCTTCGTTAAAATGTTTCTACAATCGTGCAACAACGAGAAACAAGATAATTAATTGAAGATCTATTAAAAAAGAGGTTAGGCGATAGTAGCGACGCTGAACGGTTGGCTGAGGAACTAGGCAAAGAGGTCTTTAAGTGTTCAGCAGCGTGTTCAGGATTATAAAAGACGTAAAGAGAAGAGAAAGAAAGAGAAAAGAAGAGAAAACGTATGACATAAAAGTATAGAAGTTTAAAAAATGACGGAACATTTTCGAGGTCGAATTTTGCGACATATGGGGTCCATAAATCTAACGGTTAATCTGCAAAATTATATCTGTTGTCACGCATCTATCTGTTCTTTTGTGTGTATATAAATATATTAATGAATTAATTAAAATATAAATACAATTAATAATAAAAAAAAATAACAAAATATAATTATTAATAAAATTAAGAAATATATATAAATATTTTATATATATTTTTGATGGGAATGAAAAATGATTTTGTATAGTTTATTAATGTATAATATGACATTTATCATAGATTATAATAATCATTTGATTGAATTGACGTATCTAAATCCGTTATTTTGCAATTAAAAAGAAGATATTTTTCTATTTTATTATGTAATACAAAATGCATGATATTATAAAGGGTCAAAGGTGAAACGCAAAGGGCAGTCAGGGACGATTTATCATCCCTATTATCCTGTCTCCAACGATCTACCCTGTCTATTCTCTCTCATGGGAGTTTCAGGGTGAGACACCTATAACGTAGATATTCAACCCCTTCCCTTCTGAACAATGCAGCCCTTTCGTAGGGTATTTTGATGTTCGAAGTAGTATAGCTCAACGACAAAGCCAGCCCATCGATAGGATCAAAGAGAGTAAGTGAGAAACTGAGAAACTGAGGGAAGGGTTGATTGGGGTGGATAGCTGCTGGTGGTGCTTGTGGTGGTGGGGGAAAGTGAATGGGAAAGGGAAAGGGATCGAGCATGTGTGTAAAGGTCGATCGTCGTGTTGTTGTTCAGTTTGCGTCTCGTCGTTGATCGCTTATTGCCAAGCAACGTTCAGAACTGGGTTGTTAACGACGAGAGAGATCATTCTCATCGATTCTATTCTGGTATCCCTATGTACCCTTAGACAATACCTCCTTCTATTGCATATTGTTTAATAAACACTAGTGAGAAAAAGGAACATTTTATTTAACAAACCTTTCTCGTTCGTTTTCATTAGCACGTCAATTGTCAATGTGTTTGATTGAAATTTAATTGGAATCGTTATTGTTTAAAATATTATTCATGGAATTATGATTGAAGTATATTATATTATATCAATTTCATCTCAAATATTGTTCATATATATTGTTTATTATTATTATTATTAATATTAGTTTAAATTGTAATGAAATGTTTTATTGTATAGAGTTGATTTGTTCGTAAAATGATAAGGTAGTAATCGTTAAATGGATTATATCAATTTGTTCTAAATATTTTTCATATATTGTTTATTATTATTATTTTTATTATTTAAAACTATAATTAAATATTTGATGTATACTCGAAAAAATTACAATTGTGCATTATTATTATTATAAATTGTCTATTATTTAACTTTACACGAACATGTTGTATACATATATTTATACAGCAGTTTATTTATATATCATTTTGTTATTATAGGGTCAGAAATTGATGGGATATATCCCCCATTATATACCCATGAGTAAAAATAATATTAAATCGATTTTAGATGTTTGCTTTTAGATGTGCTTCGATTTAACGATCCCATTGTGGTACATCGGTTAATATTTTACGTCTATTTTTATATTTTATTAATGAAAATCTTGTGTTTGTTTATTTATTTATTTATTTTACCGCGGTATATTAATAGAATGTATGGAAAAGAAAAAACAAAGATTGAATAAACTCACCCGTTATTAAAAATTATTTCGATGACGTGTCAAAAATGCCGAAAAATTCAGTTTTACGTTAGGATTATTATTTTTGTCCCCAAATTTTTCTTTTTTCTTATTACAAATATTAATTAATATAGTAATAAAAAAGGATTCTATGCAATTCAATATTATCTCAAAATATATTGGAACTATGATAAAAATGCAATTGAAAATTAGGATTGTATTTATTTATTTTTATAGAGAACCGTTTCGTTTCGTGGTTTGATATCAAATGACACAACACGGTAACACTGACGCATGTCCATTGAAAAAGAAAAAAATCGTAGAAGATAGAAGACACAAGCAAGCAACCACCCCTTTGAGAAACAAACATCTGTTTCTTATTAGAGAAACAATAAAACTTCTCGTCAATTACGAAACTTTCAAGAATATCGTTATATATTATAAATAAATAAAAATAATGATATCGTAATTCATTGTATCGATTCAAAAATGATGCATTTAACTTTACCCATATTACAAACTATTGAATAATTTATCAATTGACACAATCGAATGGTGTGAATATAGAAGATGCTATTTGAAAAATGCAAACAAAGTTTAATAACGTTCAATACGTTTTGTATTTTCGTGGAGTGTGAACGTAATAAACTTTAGAGAAGGAAAGGAATGTCCGTGAAAGGTCTTAGCTATTACGAAAAACATTTTTTATTTTCCAATCGACTAGTACAATTTGTAACTGGCCTGAATCCTTCTTTAAGTTTTAAGGACAAATTGATCAATGCTTGTATGATTACCGTTTATTTAATAACAGGAATTTTACATCAGGTAACCGTTGTTTTTCTTTTCTTATTTTTTCTTTTCTTGTGTTATTTTTCAATACGAGTTACGCGTTATTCAAAAAAAAAAAAAAACAAAATTATTCGTGCGTTTAACATATAATATAAATTATATTATATTGTAATATATAATTGTACATTATGTACGGGGTGTAATGTACATTCAATTATTTTTCAAAAGGTTTTGAATAATGATTCATTTTATATTAAAAATATTAATCGTAATTTTTACAGTTGTATCAAGTAATCACGTTGGAAATCAAACTGCATATTACTATCAAAATTATACAACTTATTATTTCAGTTATGTGCGTTCTTTGTACATATTATACGTTCTTCTGTAACTACGTAAAAGTTCGTATGAATTTTTCTTCTCGAGTCTTATTTAACTACGCTTTTTTTTCTTTTTTTTTTTTTCATACGTGACAAGTAGACCTTACGGATGTGCCCTCACGAATTTTTAAGAACTTTGGTATATCAGTAGTATACCTTTAAGATGTTCTCGTGGTAAAACATTTGTCAAATGGTACGGAAAGTATTTTTTTTTTTTTTTTACTTTATAAGTTTTTTCTTATCCTTTAGTTATACAAATTCTTTTTTACATTTCTTAATTTTTAATTATATACAGGAAAGAGAATTAAAATTATTAGAAAACAAAATTAGAAAGAATCAATTTTAATAAGATTTTACGCAAATAAAGGAAGATTTATTATTTGAATTACAGAGATAACATAGTATTATTATTTTTTTAATAGGTATATAAAAATATATAAATCTTACATCCCGTAAAAACATTTCGTGAGGTCTCCTTGTGAGACAAAAAAGAAGAAGAAAAAAAAAAAAAGAAGAAAAAAAAAGAAACAAACGAAAATTAATATATTATTTTCAGATGCAATTAGTTGTAGATCATTTGAAATTTGATTACGAACTTATGACGGATAAAGAAGAAATCGATATTATGAAAAATTATTTAAAACAAAGCAAAATGTATAATTATTTTATTGTAGGTAAGTGCGTATATGTTATTTTAAATAACGATGAACCCGAGATTTTTTTTCTCTCTCCTTTTTTTTTTTTTTGTTTTCAATTAATTTTTCGTTTCAGGTGCTTCGAATTGTTATGTTTGTATGTTATTTTTGCCATGTCTATTTAATTTTATTTTATATTTATCCATCGGTACTCCGGATATAGTTCAATTAGTATTACCATTGCCTATTATCAATCATTCCTATGGAGGATTTTTATATTTTAGTTTGTTTATTTATCAAATAATAGCCGTCGAGATTGTCATAATTGTAACTTGCGTATCTGCTTCTACATACATAACATTAGTAAATCATGCGCGTTGTCAATTTAACATTATCACGTACGTATTATCATTATTCGTAAATAATATCAGTCTTTTTAGTATTGTTGATAAATTTACAGAGATATATTAATATTATCTAATTATCAATATTCTTGTCCACAAATATGTTATTAATATATAAGTCTCAAAAGTAATTAAATCTTATGAACAATTAATTTGAACTAGTTGTACGTTTCGTCCCTTACTGGGGACTTCATCAGCAACTTGATCATTTACAGTTCACGTGTCCA